ATAATTTAAAAGAATAATTGATTTTATACACATTTTTTTCATAGTTTTAGACTTACAAAAAATAATAAATATATTAAATAAATTTTCAGTTTTTATTATTCTATTATCTGTTTTAGTCTATAATAAATAGAATTTTCTCATGTTGTTAAAAAACAAAATTTTAGAAACTTGTCTTTCCTTTAAACCTCTCAGCATTAAAAAAAACCCATAATTAAACAAGTAATCTTCTAATAATTTATCATATGTCCTCATTGAAACCAATATATTCACTCCTAAAAACAGGGCTCTAAAAACATGATATGAGGGAACCGAAGGCAATGAAAGAAATTTGTATGCACAAAACATTTTTGGAATAATTATCAGAGACATAGATAACAGTGATAAGCAGCTCCTATATACTCCATTGAAATATCACTCATGCCTATCAAAAAGTGAAAATTTAGTTATTTTGTAGCAAATAAACATTTGATCCTTTAATATTATATACCATTTGAAAGGTAAATCGTTTATCTATTGCTGCATGTTAAAATATTGGTAACTTTCCGTGCCTTTCACTTAGAAAAACACGGCAGAACATACCCACTGAGCCAGTTTTTTTGTCATATGAATAGTTTTGTAACAAAAAAAATATTAAGTAGTTCTCTTTAAAAAAAATGATGTAACATTTATTTAAATGGAAACTGTAAATATTTTTACCTGCAGTCATAGACAAATGTATAAGCTTTCAGAAAATGTATTATTTTACTGATTTTGATATCTGGTTAATAAGTTTTACTTGCTACAAGTTTTAGTTAAGCAGGCACGCGTGATATTTTAACTGGCTAGCTAGGAAGTTGCCTATCTCTGTTATCTATGTCTCTGTAACTATTCAGTGAAACAAAAAATATCAATTATGAAAGTTTTGACGTTACACAAAGTAGATGTGTTATGTTTAAAATTCTACACACTATAGGTGGTCAATGTAATCTTTACAATTGCTTGAATATGTCCGTTGTTATGTTTATGTTTTATTGAAGGCCTTGTTGAAAATAAGATTTTGCATTATATGTGTTGTATCTAATGCTTTGATGTATTGTCTTAATAAGTTACCTTCGTTAAATAAAGAGTTTATTATTATTATTATTATTATTATTAATGAACGTTTGTTTAAGTCTCAGATATACATTTAACTCAATGGTTATGCCAGAAATGTTTCTCACTTTCCTGATGGGAGACCCCTCCCTTGTACACATCGTAGCCGCGTGCCCTTATTTCGATTGCTAGTAGTCCACCTATTTCAATGAATATTGAACACTTATCCACATATGGATCACAATGTGCATTTTGACCATTATTGCCTCTATCCGTTGGTGATTTTCTAAAGAATTGAACGAACAAGGGATTGTGTCTATGTTTTTCATCATCACAAATCAAGCTTGTTTCATTGTAAAGTGTTTTGTGCTTATCTTAAGTCAATTTCTTCATCCTCACATAGAATGTTTCCCACGACAAGTTCTCAAAAACAAAAAAAACTGCATCACATGACAATGCATGAATAGGTCTCTATAAAGGAACTATACGATAAGGTTTGAAAAGCATTTTCAGTTTTTCAATGATAGTTCATATTTTACAAAAAAATAACTTAAATTATTGTAATCTTAATCACCGTTCAATATGGTCCTTATAATATGGGAATCTTAAAGTAACATGTTTAACCGGAAAGCAGCAAATTTTTTTAACCGATGCACATTTTGGTGAACCATATACATGTAAAGTACGGCATAAAGGGGAGATAAATGATACCGTAGTATATATATGCCTTGTAGACTTATCTCCCTTATTGATACATTGACCTTATTTGTCTTGAGGACATTATAGATAAAAACGAGAGATAACACGTCAAAGTAGACATCAAAATCATTCGTGCATTCAATCAATCAATTAATCAATCAATCAATAAGAAATAAAAAAGAAATAACGAGACTCTTTTAAACATTAAAGTACACTAGGAATGAAAATACCTTAAACAATAAAATCAGATATACATATGTCATTACATCTACATAAAAAGGAAGTGCAGTTGTAAAAAAAGTAAGATACATAGAAACACAAAAATTTAAATTTAAGTACACTACACCATATTAAAACATAAGCACAATGTACATTATTTACACATGTAAAATTTTAAATAAAAAAGATATTAAGTATTATATACATGTATGTCGAACACTATTTATTTAATTGTTTGTATGACTTGTCAACATAGTCTAAAAGAAGCAATATAAAGCAAAATTACTTATATTTTAAAGCGTAAATAGCATTACATAATTTGCCATAAAATCGATACACCTAAGAACGAAAATAGACTTCTGTATTTTCCAAAAATGGTAAAAACGAAACTAGCACGGCCATTTTTGTAATGGACTGACAAACAAGTATGAAATTAATCAGAGTTTACATAAGTCAATTTTTTATCTATCACAATTCCGATGATTTTTTTCGAGTGATAGTTTTGTGAGAAAAAGGATCAAAACTGAAGCTGGACAAGAAAAGAAATAAAATGGTAAATTTTGCAAAGTTTTCATACAAATTTAGGTCAATTAATGTAGCTCGAATTAATTTTTGAAATTTCAAATTAGACCATTTTAACAAAAATACAATAAATCATTTACAAAATATTCACAAGTGTCTTTTATAAACTTAGTTGTTAAGATAAAGACAAAAAATGCTGAGCTTCCTTCACTAATTTATCATTCATATACAGAAATGAACATCACGATACTTCAACGAAGAATATGCCATCAAAGAAATCGAAAAGAAAACAAGGGAGAGGTAGGTAACAATTAATACTGCAAAACTTATTTAATGTAACTTGACACATTCAAAACAAATTTAAGTAAACAATATCTACATTTACACCATTACATTTTTTCAATGATTTGTTTATTTGTGTGTGTGTTTTTTTTTTTGTTTTTTTTTTGTTGTTGTTGTTTTGTTTTTTCTTGATTTTACGCCGATTTTAACACATTTGCTTTTTGCCTCGCTGCTTCATAACTGTATAAAATGAAATAATAACTGGCATTCATCATGTTTTATTTCTACAAGCTTCATTTTTATGTATATAAATGTACTTAAATTAAATATCAAAACAATGTAGTTTCATACAAGTGGAAAATTTAGATTTGTTTTGTATTTCGTTATAAGAAAATTGATTATATTGAATAAACTACAGTGATTACAAACACGATGTATATTTCATAAGTAGAGCCCTCCTACCCCTAAAACCCAAACAAACAAAGCTTTGATAATTTCCATTGACTTAATTTTTCTTTATATAGCTTTGTCTGAAAGTGATTGTAATACAGGAATCAGGAGGGCAGAAGGAACAGGATATGAAGCGGAAGTACAAGGTAATATTCTTACATTCATACCAGATAATTTGGTTTAACAAATCATACACTAGAAGGATAATCAAATATCGTTATAACGCTGATAAACATACACTGTAAGTGTAAATCAAACGTTAAAAATGCGACAACGTACGTTTAACAAAGAGAAAAGAAAAAGAAACATTTGATCAAAAGCGAAATATTTACTAAATCAAAGATTGAAAAAAGACATACCGATATGTTATTTACGTTAATACTAGTCTACATATTGTCTTTGGCAATCTTAGCAATTAACATGCATTTTTTTATCTGTTAATGTACCTGAAGGGACATAGAAATTCTGTACTTTAAATGAAAATATCAAAGTACTTTTTCAAACTACCTATATAATCAACTGAATATATTAAAAGGATAAAATATGTTTAAAAAAATCTAGAGAAAATGGTGGTTGGTAGAAATATATACATGTATGCCGCTTTAACAATATGAAAAATGTTGATCATCTGAAAAGTTTACGCTATCAGTTACAGTTGGACAAATTACTTGTTAGAACAACAAATTCAACATTTTTTTTATATATAATTTATTACTAAATCAAAGATTGACAAACACATATAACACGAATATATATCTGCTATGAAAACATAGGTCCCCAAATTACTTTTTATAGTAATCATCTCGAAACTTTTATGAAAATATGTTCTATAATATTTCTATAGAATTAATATTGAAAAATATTACTATCTTCTATCAATTGATATGCGTCATTGGCTATATTTTAAAAGATATCACAATTTTTTTTATTTTTTTTTGCGCGAAATTACCCAGTATAAATTAAGATTTTGTTGATCAGTTTTGTGATAAGAGAAAAGAACGTTACTCGAAATATGCCCTTTAAATAGATTCTATACATATCTATTTTTCTATCAAAAAATTCACAACACACTAACAATATAAATCAGTAAAAGATAGCTTTATTGGATGTGATTACATTTTAGGACATAGTGAAACATCTGTAACGCAGTATATATCAGACACGAATATTCAGATTGGTGATAAAAATGTTATAAAAGACGAAAGAAATATTTCAAGTGATACAGAATATACAACTAAAGGTAAATTTCTAACGTTAATATATTTGGACTTACTGAAAACACTTCGTTTCAGAGCAATTAATGAGTATAACACAGTATCAAAAACTCAATATTTAATAAGCCACGAAGAAGTTGACATAATTATATGAATGATACGTATTAAGTACATAAAGTGGGTGCTATATCGCATCTCATTATTTCATCTCAGTGTTTTGATTTTGTGGTCCTTTTAAATTGATTCAATACGTTTAAAGTTGAAACCAAATATTGCCTGCGGTGAAAAGGGGCGTGAGAGGTGTTGTACATATTTCATGAGCTGTTTGAAACTTTCATCAAACTTTGCACAATTTCCACCTCTTTATTTGTTTTTCCTCGCGCTCCGGTGATTCTCCTATTTCAAAATTTTGATAGATTACATTAAATCTGAAATATAATGTAGTTTTGTTTCACGTGAGTCAAAGAGATTTATAAACGTAACATTTTGATATTTGCATGTAAAATGTAATTGACTAACATCATTGCAATTATTTTCAAACAGGAGCATGTGCCTCTAGTTCAACCTCAGAAGCACATCATAAAACCTATGCAGAAGCTCTCACGGGTGAAGTAAAATGTATCAACCAACAGATAAATGCAGGAAATGTGACCATCAATATAAATACAAGAACAGACACACCGGATACTGAAAAAGAGTCGCTCTCAGGAGCAACTTCAAAGTTTCAAAGACAGCAAGTTGCTTCTTTCCTCAAAGCTGTTGACAGGTTTGACAGAGGTAATTTTATTTTGGTAACTGGTAAGCAGACCGAACTTGAGTACACAGATTCACTAACATTAGTAAAATGGACTGCTGTATTAGATTTTGATCCAGAAAGTAGAACCAAGGGACTTTTGTCAAGCGTAGAGTCTACGCTCAACAAACGTCGATTATTACATATAGGTAGTATTCAAGATACCTTTTCATTCTCAGAGCAAATAACTAACTGGATATTTATGATGGGTTGTGTAGACAGACCAGATACAATGACTGCTAATGAAGCTAATATTTGGAAAAAGGCTATTGAGGAGGAAATAGATAATACAATTTTGCTTTTAAAACAATTTGAAACAGGTGTAACCAATTTTACATTTGTAGTCCTTTGGCCTTCTGATTCTTATACAGCAAAATGTGCACAATTTGTTATTAGTAAGTTTTGTACTCGTATGAGCTCTTCTGTAGTTATCATAGATACGGGTAAACAGAAGTCCCAAAGTTCATTGCTAAACTTAGACATTCTTAAAGAGGAGAATAATGTAAACGTAGTAGAACTGGGGTTTAAAGAATTATATCGAGCTATAACAAATGTCAGGAGAGATGTAATAGAGTCAGCTGGTTATTTCCTGCCAACTAAAAACAAAACCAATGATCCACGAATTTCAGAAGAAAAAGCACAATGGTTGAAGGAGGACTTTGAAATTCTTTACACTGATAATAAAACTGGCAAACAAGATCTCACTGTAGATCAGATGGTGAAAGAAATAGATAATTTTAACAAGGGAGGAACATTGCCATGGTTTTGGTGGTACATTGTTGGCACTGGTCACGCTGAAATCCAGAGAGATATAATGCATGCGATATTAAGAAGCATCAAGGAATGTATAAAGAATCGTAAATCTGAGACCATTACATTGCTGCATTCACCAGGCTCCGGAGGCACAACACTTTCCCAAAGTATTCTTTGGGCACTTAAAGATACTGTGCCATGCGCACAAATAAAACACAATTCTGGCTCGGCTGTGACGGATCTCGTCGAAAAGATCACTTGTTTAAGTGACATTACAAATATGCCCGTGGTTATTTTACTAGATGGAGAAGACGAATACAGAATTAATTCTCTCAAGAAACTTTCGGAACGCATGAAAATATGCGTAATAATGTTTTGGGTGCGGCGCTTTATTGGTGAAATTGATGATTTTCTGTATAAAGGTAGAATCATCACATTTAAGTTAGGTGATAAGCTTTCAAAACGAGAAGCAAAACTATTGAGATTGAAATGTAAGCATATAGAGAATGATAAGCGTCGTAAAATCGTGGACAAGCTTGTTGAAGATGTTGAAAATGATAAGACGAGGACGATATTTGAATTCGGAATTGCTGCTCACAGTTACGAATACCAAGGAATTCAATCATACGTCAATGGCTATTTAAAGCTTTTCAAAAATGAGGACCAACAACTGCTACCATGGCAAAGGTCTCTTGAACATTTGTCCCTTATTTATTATTACGGTCATTCATCAATCCCTTGCCACTTTTTAACCGATATTGTTCAGACAACGACGGAAAAGAAAAATATTATTGGAAAGGAAGACTTCCCGCAAGAAATGCAAGAATTTATTGTAAATGGAGTAAACGAATCAAGAACAAATACGGTACGAATAAGCCATTATTACATAGCAAAGGAAATTCTCGACCAGATTTCGACAAGGGAAACCAGTATTGAGAGACCTACATCACCTTATTTGTGCTCTGAAGCAGTACCATCTGTCCTGAATTTATAGATACTGTTGGAAAAATAAGCAACGGAAATTCATCTGAAATTTTATCTAAATTGTTGATCAACACGTTCATCACTAGGGAACATAGAGATTGTCTTGAGGACGAAACCCAAAAGAAACGTTTTAAAGGTCGAAATAAGCCGTTGTTTTCACACATTTTGGAAGACGCGAGTTCCAGCGCTCCATTCTCGGAGAGATTCGACATTTTAAAGCAGCTTGTTACATCGTTCCCTTCAGAAGCGCAATTTCGGGCACATTTAGGCCGACTCTACATGATATGTCAACCAGAGAATGAAAAGAAAGCAGAAGAAAACCTTCGAAAAGCCTATGAAATGAGCTCAGCGATACTTGATGAAATAAAAATCATTGATGAAATTCCGTACTCCAGGAGACTTGACATACGAAATATTTGCCATATATATGGGAATATGCTGTCTAAAAAGGTATTCAAATATACAGGTAAATGTAGCACTGACAGACCTGCTATACGGATTGAGGACGACCAGTTCCAGGCTATTGCCGAAGAACTTCTCCCTGACATTCAAATGGCTTGTTTACTGTTTTCAAAAAACAGAGAGGTAATGTCCCCTGGGAATTAAGACTGTCTAGGATTTGTAGGTGAAAATCAGATACGGCTTATGTTCTGTCGATTTATAAAAGAGAAAGGCGGTGTCTCCGATTTAGAAAAATTTGCAAATAACTCCAACAGTAATTTGGCGGAATTTGTCAACGATTGCTTTGCAAATCTGGGAACTCTTTTTGACGAAATTTGTGAAGTATGTGATGTGTCTGATAGAAACAGCATGGAAGTTAATGGCCAACCACTGCAAGAAATATACATGGATATAATGGAATCAAAAAGTCCTGGACATTTTTCGTTTAAAAAGGATTTGAACACATCAAGAGCACGTCGCTGTGAAATTGGCAAGCTCAAGAGAATTTATGGTTCAAAAACTTCTCATGGAACTATAGAGAAATTGTAGAAAGAACCAGAGGTACAATTTGTAGTAAGCTGCTACGAAAAGAACTTCAAAACGGATTACTTTCGTGACAAAGATATAAATTCAGATTATCGCGAATGGTTAATGGCAATACGACACCCTTTGTTTTCAGAACGGTATTCTGTTGAAAAGGTTCTTAGAAATGTAGAAAATTGGCACGAGAATGCTCAACAAGATAAAAATCCAAGGCGAAGAATCTACGCAAAGTTTTATTACTTCGTTTTGACAAGTTTAATCGGCTTTGGGACACATGGCCAGCTTGGCAATACTGAACTTCTGCGCAAGTCACAAATTTTGCGAAAAGAGTTAAACGACATTGCTAATTATTTGCAAAATCCATCTAACCAACTGGAGTGGCTTGGTCCGCCTTTGTCAACGATCGACCGCCTGATTCCTGGTAGGAGATTTCACGGCGATCAGGATCATTCATTTTTGGGAAAGGAAGAACAAAAAGGCCTTGAGATAAGGTTAGGTACAATATGCCCTCCTAATAATAGACCTAGTTATGGTCATATCGATCTTGACCTAGGACCAGAAAATAGAGAACCCATAAAGATACATTTTGTCCCAAAGATTTGGAAACTGAAAGGAACGGCATTCAAGAGCCATCGAGTAGAATTTGTCATTGGTTTCAATATAGCACAAGGCTACGAGGCTTTTATGGTAAAACCGGTGGGTCATGTCAAGTGTAAACAAAATACATGCGGAAACATTGTGGAAAGAAGGAGTTGCGACAAAAGGGTTAAATGTCCGAAATGTCTGCAAACGACAGATAATTAGGACGTTTAAGTGAAGATAAAGGTATTAAAGAATAACCAGGAAGCCATGAAATTGTCATATGAAGTGTCATTATATGAAATCAACACAGTTTGAAAAAAAAACAGCAAAAAAAAACAACGGTTCCTCTACTCCTGTCCGATTGTGTGTACTGGGGTATTCCTTCCCTTAAATTTGCTGCTGTAAGTAAAACACCTTTGATTTTAAGCAAAGGAAACTATTCTGGCTAGTAGGAAATCACAGTTGTCCTTAAAACCCTTACAACGTTAAATATAAACGCAGTAGGGCACCTCCTAGAACACACTGTATATAACATAAACATAATGATAAGTTATACCTTTTAATGCGCGAGACTTGTAATCTCGACATTGTGGGTTCGATTCCAGGGTTGGCCAAATAAAATTACTCATTGCAGTCTTTCGCATGAGATTGGCACGTTAAGCTTCTGAAATTGGGGCATCTTTCTGTGTCTGCATCTTCCATTATCATCCAAATTATAAAATGACTAATACTCTTCCCATATGGGTTACCAATGGCGAGTATAAATAAACTCAATAACAAACTATACTATACCTTCATTATACATATCATTATCTGAAATAACCCCATTTGGTTGGAAGGTTGTTATTGATATAACTACAGAAAGCTCAAACCGCCACTTATAAATGCCGTGCAGCCTGAAATGTTTATAATTCATTTGTGTAACAAAGTTTGATTGAAACGAGACCAAATGCCATATAGTAAAACGTAAAAATGAGTTTCTACATTTTAATGTTTGCAAGAGTGAAGATACGATACTGTGAAGTGTTTAATTTTACTTCGATTATTTGGTTTTTGCAGTTGCTGTGGTTGATTTTAAAAGTGGTATATACCGTAAGGCTTCAGGAAAAAACTAATAAATTATTATAGATGAATTTAAATATTTACAAAAATCGTTTTGAAAGGCCTAAAATCATTTATTTTTCTTCTCGTCTTTAAAAAAATGTTACTGTTAACAACAAAAAATGATGGTTTAATTATATTTGTGATTGAGTGGTTATATTAGATCAGTTGTAGTTATTTGCTCTGTATAATTTTTAAAACACATTTTTTTTATATACATTGTATCATGTGTATGTTCGGATAGATTTTTGTTTAACCCATTTCCTTGCGATACTGTTGTTAATTCAAAATATAGATAAAATCTGCATACTAGGTGATGATGGGCACAATAAGTATGCATATTTATAATGGCAGTTTAGTTATCTATCCATAATGTGTCCATATAAATCCATGAAAGAGCAGAAAACAGGGAGATAGATGAATATTGTCTTTAATTTACTTTGTGTTAAATCAATGTCACTTGTTGTGTAAGTTCTCTTCTTTTTTATGCTGATTTATATGTATTGATGTTTGTCTGTCTAAAGTATCATATTTGACATGAATCTATTGTAAATATTGAATGTTAATTAGTTGAAGAATATATATGAAGGATATAAAACAATATATGTTTTGGTTTATGATCAGATAAAAAGTAACATACATGTATTTTCAAAATTAACCATCTTCAAAAGACCTTTATTCTGCGAGTGCTTTTTTTTTGGATATGTAGTACGTTTTTTTTTTATCAAGAAATGTGCTCTCCTAAGTTTGCCTTTTTATATTTTCATTTAACGCGTATATATCAATATTTGTACAGTAGGATTCATATACAAAAAATTATATCATGATTGATTGATTGATTGATTGTTATTTTGGTTGAATATTTGTTGTGTGTGTTATTTTCGTTATTTCTTTTTAATATACATGTATATTTTTGTTCGAAAGATTAGTCCCACATTGCCTACGATTTGTATATATATAGATTAACTTTTTTTTAATTTTTAATTTTTTATTTAATCTTTTGTCTCTGTTGCTCTGTTATATAGCACTGTATATATAATTATATTGAATTAGTATTTTATATGGAAGTCAAAACACTAATTAGTTTACATTTTGCTATCTTTGTGGCACATTACTACATGTTCAGTGATATTTTCTTCAGTTGTTTAATATCAAACATGCTCTAAATTCATCATATATAATCAATTTAAACACATGTTTGACAATTACATGTATTAGCAATTAAAAAAGGGATTTCTCGGACATGACGTGCCTTTAAGATAATATATTTTTGATACATTTTTAGTTGTTTTTTTTGGAATTTTTCAAACTGTAAAATTGAAATGTTACAGAAATAAATTTCATACATTTTTACCCATTTCTGTCTTTATGTTCTTATAATAACTAGTTTAAACTTATGTCACGGAGTGATCTGTTTCTTTTGTTTTTTGCCATTTATGAGAGCAAATAAAATTTGTATCATATTTTGAAACTTTATCGCAATTAATGTAAGCAAAACCCTTTCGTTACAAAGGTGTGGGCTTCAATGACATGTGATATCCACTTCACATATTCTCAGACATCTTTTGAAATTAAATATTAAAATATACGTTGCAGGATAAACAATGATAATGATTGAGAAAAACAACAAACTTTTAAAATTACAAATGTACATCCACTACATCGTGACCATGTCGTTATGTAATACTATTCATTATGCATGTAAACTTGTTAACTTATTAAAGAAATTCCACTGAGGTTTATAAGCCAAAAACATAACATTTAATTTTCACATAGATAAACATGAGCACTTTAAACAGAAATATAAATAGATATAACTAAGAAATACACAAGAAATACATTGAAAATCATATGTTTGTGCTATTCTCAGTCCAATTTGAGTGAAAACCGTTTAAACGCTTTTCAATTTAAGGTCACTTTTCACTATTATAATAAATATTCGGGAAAAACGGAGCGAGCTAATGATCTGAAATTTTGCACATAAGTTATTATTATAGATCAACATCAAATGGAGTAATAATCTCAATAAAATTATTTCCAATCCCGTCATGTCAAAAAACTTCAAGTGGAGTCCCTTTAATATAAGTAAAATGATAACCGGAGTGTTTGTCAAGGATGACTGAAACATCAATAAAATATTTTGACGTAATTAAAACTGATTTATTGTAACATTTGTTGTTGTTGTTGTTGTTTGTGTATAATTTAGAAGTAAATTTGTTATTTTTATATGATGCTACATCTTTATGTGCTACCTTCTAACACAAATCATTATTATTATCATTATTATTCAATTTATGTATTATATAAGCATATAATACTTATATAGTATATCTGGAATACTAGTACGCAATGTCTCTTGAGAAGTAGCTGCCATGTGTTTATATATTCTTGTTTTTTTTTTCTTTCTGAAATTGTCATGTGTATATATTATTGTGCACTAATTTTTGGAACACAATTATCCGATGTTTATATTTTTCTGCACTAATTTTATTGAACACAATTATCCAATGTTTATATTTTTCTGCACTAATTTTATTGAATACAATTATCCAATGTTTATATTTTTCTGCACTAATTTTATTGAACACAATTATCCAATGTTTATATTTTTCTGCACTAATTTTATTGAATACAATTATCCAATGTTTATATTTTTCTGCACTAATTTTATTGAACACAATTATCCAATGTTTATATTTTTCTGCACTAATTTTATTGAATACAATTATCCGGTGTTTTTGTTCACAAACTTTATTGTATTTAATTGCTATGCTGTTTATATTTGAGTGCACTTATTTTATTGAACACATTTTCATGTGTTTCTATTGTTGTATACACTTTTTATTAAATAAAATCGTGTTTTAAGTTTTGTGCACATATTTTATTGAATAAAATTTCAAATGTTTATTTTTTTAATTGTTGTTTCGTTTATACCGCATACTTTATACACAAAGACACATATTCGAGAATTCGGTCATACGGGTAACCTTAACCTCCTCGATTGTTGAGGACCCGCCTTGGAACAGTCGATTTTAAATTTAAAGGGATTTCCATAGCAAAATTTGAGTTACCTACAGTGTAAAGCCTTTTTTTTACGGTTTCCCCCTTTTATTTTTTTCCCAATCAATCGCTGACCATGTTAATTACAATACGATAAACTGACCTAAAGATAAGGTATGATAAAAGATAAACTGTTATTTCCGGGTACGATATTTTAATGTAAACAGACTGCTGTGAAATGTTACAAGCATAAATCCTGGCATCTTATCAATCAGAACACAGTGAGCTATATATACATACATACATATAGTAGGAGACGGTGATAAACAAAGAACGCCGCGCATATAATTTATAAGTAGGTAAACATGGATGCTGGCGTATGAATTCGCATGAGTCAGATGTAAATATTTATAATCAAAGATAAGGATTATACTTTTCGGATAAAAGGTAATATAATATTTATTTAACTTATGTTTATATAACGTTATTTAGTAAGAATAATTCGCTAGTAGTTTTAAATTCTCAAAAGGTGCTTCAGATAAACAATGAACATAGTCTACAATTTAGAACACTTACAATTTAGAACACTCTGGAAGGAATACAGAGAATTATAATTAATACCATGCGATAATTTTCTTTTTTCTGCGCCGGAAACAAACAAAAATATAAAAATATATATATAAAATATATATTATGGATGATGTTGTACTGAGATATATTCAGTATATACAATATATGGAGTGTATACAACTTATGCAAGTTCAAGCAGACGAATCAAATGAACCTAAATTATATAACTGTGGTATGCATCATTGATGTTTCTATATATTTTATATATTATTTTTATATATTATTTTCTTATCTATTTCATTTATTTTCAAGAAACATTAAATATTGTTTTAATTTACTTTATGCGTCTGTCAGATAGCCTCCTTTCATTCTCTTCTGCAACCTTATTGTAGGCGTACCTTGAGCGAGTTTTGATCTTAGATTCTATAGTGATCTTAATCAAAAGTTCTTCACAGGAAACTAGTAACAGTTTTTTCCTCTCCCTATCTATACCTGAAACAGCAGAAAATAAATAGCTTTAGACATGTAAGTTTAAACATATGGGATGGAAAAGTGCTCCAGATTAAAATTCACTAAAACTCAAGGGTCGGTGATATTCATGTTGCCCTTTCTTCATTTGCATTTGTTGACATTCTATTTTTCTATCAATGTCACAACCTTTTTGTGTGGATATAGAGGTTCAAAGTAAAGAGCGTTCAAAGTCACATTAGATGTCAAAAGCATATTGAAAACGTAGCCTTTCGGATTAAAGTTTAAATTGTGAAAGTCAAAATCATTTCGAAAAACTCGCAGCCTTTCAGATTCAATTTAGGATTGTGGAAGTCAAAAGCATATCGAACTAGCGGCCTTTCTGATTAAAGTTTGGATTGTGGAAGTCAAAAGCTTATCGAACTCGCGGCCTTTTGGATTAAAGTTCGGATTTTGGAAGTCAAAAGCATATCGAACTAGCGGCCTTTCGGATTAAAGTTTAAATTGTGAAAGTCAAAAGCTTAACGAACTCGCGGCTTTTCGGATTAAAGTTCGGATTTTGGAAGTCAAAAGCATATCGAACTAGCGGCCTTTCGGATTAAGGTTCGGATAGTGGAAGTCAAAAGCATATCGAATTTGCGGCCTTTCGGATTAAAGTTTAAATTGTGAAAGTCAAAAGCCATGTAGAACTCGCGCCTTTTCGGGGTTGTTGGATTTGGTCAAAACTATCGAACCGGGTTGGAAAATTTTTTGGGAAGTCAAAAATTTGAAAGGGCTTTTTTTTAAATTTATTGGGAAGTTTTTAAAAAAATATCGTTTGGGCCCTTTGGGATTTTAAATTTGGTTTTTTAACAAAAAAATCAAAAAGGGGCCTGTGGGAAGCGGGAAACGAAAGTAATTTTTTTCCTCGGGTTAAAGTTTTATTGGTTTAATAAAGATATGAAACATTTGAAAAAAAGGAAAACGAATTGCGGTGCGGATTAAAGTTTGGATTGTGTTAGTCAAAAGCATATCGAACACGGTGCCTTTCTGATTAAATTTAGGATTTTGGAAGTCAAAAGCAATCGAACACGCGGCCTTTCGGAGCTGTGGGCAACTTGCATGAAAACTTTTATTTGTGAATTATACCATTGCCAAAAACCTTGTTATTCCATTTCAAGATGTCTGCCAAGATAAAACTGAGAATCAATAAATCGTACAAATGTTTTTGTTGAAAATTTATTTTTGGTTTTCCAGATAACAACAATGGATGCCGATATTTACAAAGCCGTGCAGACGAACGATCCAACAGAATTGTTACAGTTGATAAACTCAGGAGGTGACGTTAATACGATATATCAGGATTTAAGTTTGATCTCCACCAAGTCAATTCTCCACATTGGCTGTGAGAAAGGGAGAATTGACTGTGTAAAAGTAAGTACATGTGTACTGAAGTGTTAAATACGTTAACCAGCAAGCATTGTATTATGCGCCATTGCAGGACCGGGGTTCGATATTTGCCTGTCACCGATGAGTCTAAAATATCGTGAGCATCTTATTTATTCATAAAGGTTTTATTTCATAAATACCCTATATCAATGACAACGTTTTTATTCATCACCTTTATAGTCTCTTTCTATAATTGTATGTACCTATGTCACGTGGTGAATATTTTTAACTAAAACATCAAAAACAAAAACTCACCTTTATTTACCAACAGGCAAATAGTATCTGATTGTGAATAGAGCTCTAATATTTTCGGAACCCCGCGCCGATATGTTGACGGAAGTGACTGAAATAAATTATTTTGGAATACCTCTACTATTATTTTAAATCTCTTATCCGAAGGGCCGTTTATCAGCAAAAAGAGCAATGTATCAAATGTCAATCAGTGCTACCTATCCTTTCATCATTTAAATTATATCACAGTGCTATATTATAAGGATTTGATTATGTAGAAATAAATAAAACAAAGTTGGAACAGTTTTGTATAAATTCATGACCAAGAATTTTCGTCTTTTGTATTTTGTAAATTTAAAATTTAAAAAAATGTTTTTAGTTAGGAAAGCATTTTTCAAAATTTCCCGACAAAAAAATGGGATGTAATAAAACAAGGCAAAAACCAAACATTTTTTTTTTTAAATTTAGCCAACATCTTAATGTCTTGGTGAATTTACAGAATTTTAAAAAAATGGAAAGTAAGCGCTTTAAAGGTTTCCCAAGTCTTAAAATTCTATTAGCCCCAATTTAAGAATTTATTTAACACAGATAAAAATAAAGTTGTTCAAGTTTTCGCAAAGAATTTATGAGAAATCTTTATTTGTAAAAAAAACTCACAGACAATTGTATATGTTGTTTTTTTAAATTTAAATTAGCAAAATATTTTCTTTTTTAGTAAGCACATGTGCAACAACCCTTGGTACAAGACCTTCATGTAGACCAGACTAAACTTGACCTTCATTCATAAATGACCTTGACCTTCAAGGTCAAATGTATATTAGTGGCTATAACTTTGTTATTTTTGATTGAATTCAAATTTTATCTCAACAATCTTTTAGGATTGACATACAGACCTTGACATTCACTCATAAGTGACCTTCACCTTGAAGATCAAATTATTGAAATTTCTTTTTGTTGTTGTTGTAACTGATTATAACTTTGTTATTAATTAAAAGATTGACTTCATATTAAGACACAACATTGTTTAGGATAAGCCTTCACGTATATCAAACTCAAATTGATCTTGGCTCATTTATGACCTTGAAGGTTAAATTATTGAAGTTTCACTGATTTTTGCTATAATTGACTGTAACTTGGTAGTTTATAAATAAAAAGGATTATCTTCATACTTGGATAAAACAACTTTTTGTACAAGACCTTCAAAAAGGTTGAACTGACCTTAACCGTCAATGTCAAATTATTGAAATTTGGTTGTCATAATTTTGTTATTTATGTACGGATTTGATTTATACGTGGAAAAAACAACACTTATGACAAACGGACATGATGAATAATTATATATGACATTGGCCGTTTAAATGACCTAGATCATCAAGGTCAAATGATTGAATTTGCTTGTATTTTCTTAACTTTGTCATTCACTCATGGTAATAATTTATACTTGGACAAAACTTTTTTCTTCAATTTTCTTTTAGATTTGTTTCGAGCGTTGCTCCGCCCGGCGATGGCTCTTGTTTAACGCAAATAGTAATTGCATTGATCGTTTCTATAGTGACTGATCCAGAAAAATCGGCTTGAATGACATTATATATGTGCGATAACGGTACATAATGATACATGACGATAACATTCATGATATTTGTAAATGATGAAATTAAATATTGTTATCAAAGCAAGCATTTTGTCAATTAATAACATTATATTTGATTCGAGAATCAAGATATGTTTGGTATGATAATGCTCGACTATGGGAACTATATTCAAAATGATTGTATAATTCCTGAAAAATCATAGGTTCTTTGAAATTTTGGCTATAGTATACTCCCAAACATACCAACTATTTACGTGACGTCATGCTGTTTACATGACGATAGTACAATTGCATCAAAAAGTAAAAAAGTCAGTATTTTCACAATAACTTTTGCTATGGATTGAAAGTAATGAAATTTTCTTATTTGTAACAATGACTTTTTAAGAATTCAATGATATAAGTCAAGTTAAATCATAATTTTCCGAATTCTGTTTGGGGTGTTTGAAGGGGGGGGGTGGTAGTCCCCCTCATCGCCAAGAAAATTTTGGACTTGTGAGAGGCTAAAAATGACCCCAGATCGATCATGAGGTAACGTGTATCCAATGCTGAAAAGCATTTGACTTCATCTCAATCCATTGAGAAGTTGGAGCACTTTGAAATCAAATTTTGATGGAAAAAATCAATGCAAAATAGTGATTTTTGGCAATTTTGAGATGTCCCCTCGTTGCCATGGTAACAGGAAATTTAAGCCTGAGCATGTTGTTACAAGGGCAATGGTCCAGTTAACATTTGTGCCAAGTTTGATTAGTATTGAAGCAGTTTTTATTGTTTTATAGCAATTTGAACTTGTAACGGGAGACTTTTCAATGAAAACAGCCATTTTTCACAAAATGCTTATGAAGTAATGGGTTATATTTTACAAGGTACTCATTCAGAAAGGAGCGAACCTGGCGGCACGTGACTCCTGGTATCAGACACCTCTCATGTATTGTATGATCACCCAATGGTATGAAATAGCTGAAATATTACTCGATCAGGATCAAGACATTATTGACATCGGGGATATGTATGGTAGGACAACCTTACATATTGCTGTAAAACACGCCGCCGTGGAAGGTGTAAAGGTAACCCGACACGCACAAAAATTCTGTTTTTTGTATCTTATATTTTAATTATATCACTTTAAAGCAGCACGCCTCCAATTTCATGCAAATTTTCATGACAATTTTGAAAATGTATTTGAATGTGTAATATTGTGAAGTAACCAAAAGGAAGCAATTTACACATTACTAATGGCATTTACTAACCACATAAAATACCAAAAAGTGGTTAAAATGTGCATAAATACATGTAGCCTTTACTGCGTTATTAACGGAGTAGGAATTTAGTTGTAAATACTGAAAAATCAGCCATTAATCAAATATTACTTGAATCTTGAAACTTTTTATTTTTCCTGACATCTTAGTTCATTTTTTCTCAAGTTTGGATTTTATTCATCTGGAGGCATAAGAGTTCGGTTAACTTCGTCACTTTTCGTACTTTCACGACACGAAAAATGACGAAATATTCCGGAATTTTACGAGCTTGTGTTTCGTTTTAAAAAGATATGATTATTTCGCGCAATATCAGAATTGTACTGTAATAAGTAAGCGACAAACCTGAACCACAACCAGTGAAAATAGAAGAAGTAGTTTTGCAATAATATAATTAATGGTGATAGTATTATTTAGGCACAAATAAGTAATACATCGTACTCAACATTTCTACATTAACCCTAACAATATCTGAAAACTTGTTTCTTTTAAAATTTTCTCATGAATTTATTATGCTTTATAGTTTTGATCATGCAAAGCGGACCTTTTAAAAATTCAAATGGCATTACATTGTTGATTCTATATCAAAATCAAATTTTCATTTATTGCAGATACTGTTGAAATACGGCGCGGATATAGATAACGTAGATGAGAAAGGTATCACACCACTAAATTATGTTTGTGGTGATAAAGAAGTATCGGCAGAGGATCGTACGGAAATAGTACGGATTCTAATCGAAGCCGGGGCTAATCCCAATTGTAGAGACTTTATGGAAGGTAGAACGGCGCTTCAGGTACAAACAGTTGCCTTTGGCAAATAATCCCATGTATTAATTGTTTATCATCAAACAAGTTAGAAAACATTTAGAATTGGTCGAAGAGGCCAGTAAATCGTATTACTTGCCTATGGCATACTTATTTAAACATGTAGGCCTCTACATTTGTTTCCTGTTTGGCTCATTTAGATATTCAAAAGCCATGCTAGTCCACTCGGCTTGTGTCATAATTGCCGTATGAAGTAAAGAAGTAAAAAAGGTGCAGCTATCCATGTAAAGTTATAGGTACATTTATATACTAGTTAATCCAATCTTTATTTTCAAAGAGGGCGATGATTACAGGTAATGTAGAAGTCGTCGAGATGCTCCTGGCCGCTGGTTCTCAAGTTAATACGTTAGATAGTTGTGGACGCTGTCCTGTAACCAATATATTGTTGTATCATAGGAGACCAGGTGATTCCGTTGACGTTGCTGACGACGTCATGATTATCATTATAATGTTGATACAGGTAACAAAAAACAAATTTCCATTTCACTGATTAGCTGGTTAGATAATAGAAAACTTCAAAATTATACGTATGTATTTATGTTTAATTGTTTTAAAGTAATTTAAGTCAATTTTATGCTTATTTCAAACACCCAACATGTTTGATACTTTTTCTACAGATATATGTAACCTCAGTGGCCTAGAGTGTTGTTCTTTTATTATTCATTTATTTTTTGTGAGCGGGTGGTCGTAAGTTTGAGTGAGGTTGTTGCCGATGCATTTGCATGAGACAAAAGTAATTGCAAGAAGTCGTTTGCATATTTTCATTTCGATTGCTATCATATATATGTTATAACACCCTTTTTAATATCCCCAACTACATCTGTGTGCACTACTGGAAAGCATAATCATTAAAAGTGAGAAGCAGAAAAAGGCTGAACCATTCCAAGGAAGTAACCTAGTATGATACCAAGACAAGCTTGAAGGGGGCTGTTTGATTTCAATGTTAGCAAGAAGTTGATGTTAAATTCCAAACAGTATGGTTATGTTTTTGTCATATTTTCAGGCAGGGGCAGATCTCAATATCAGCAAATGTGAGCATAGTAATGCTTTATGTATGGCCACAATGTACCAGTGCACGAACCTCGTTCAATATTTACTCTATAATGGTGCTGATCAAAACGTTCAATGTAAGTTTAGTAAAAAAAAACAAATTTTGAAATAATTCTACATGTCCATTTAAATCCAAAAGATATCATTTATACCAGAGACTAACAATGTATATTACATCTATAACTATAGCTCTGTGTTTGTACATACATTTTTTCTATCACATATTACCGATAATTAATGAATTAGAGGAAATTTTATTAAAGTTCGTCTCTTCATAGTTTTGCCGTGTTTAGAATTACATACCACCTGATCAATATCCTTTTACTGCAGTCTATTGCGGTGTGACACCTCTTCAAATAGCGACAAGGAAAAAAGATCTGAATACGGCAAAGGTTTTGTTAAACTGGAAAAGTGACTTGTACAGAAAAGGACGTGTGAAACGGGGAGAACTTGATTATCAAACGGATGTGTTCCATCTTGCCATAGACATTGGCGCTTTTGAAATTGCCATGTTGTTAGTTGAAATCGGATACGATTTGTCACGAGTAGACTATTTAACAGACTGGTCTATTTGTCCACCGGATACGTTAGTCGGAAACCAGTCTATGTTAGAGTATTTCCGCCAAGGCGCCATGTTGGTTCAGAGCTTGTTTCGGTTGGCAATTTTTGCAATTAGGGACACTTTGAGCGGACACACAACAGAGAAGGCGACATTATTACCTCTCCCTAAGCAATTGATAAAAGCAGTTCAGCTAGAAGATGAACTTACATAGCAGAATGTGCTGTGAAATTGGGAGATACCAATTTTTATCTTCTTGTTAATGCTAATTGTCTTTTTAGTCCCCTACCGGTTTACCGGAGGGGACTTTAGGTTTACCCTCCGTCCGTCTGTCCGTCTGTCCGTCCGTCAGTCCGTCCGTCTGTCCGTCCGTCAGTCCGTCCGTCCACAAAACTGGATCCCGCGATAACGCAAAAAGTACTGAAAATATTTTAATGAAACTTGATATATGGATAGATGGCAGTATGGAGATTATGCACGTCTTTTTCTTTTCGTCCTATGTTGAAAATTCTGGTTGCTATGGCAACAAATAGACTGAAAATATGGCAAATTTTACACATAACCTGGATCCCGCGATAACGCAAAAAGTACTGAAAATATTTTTATGAATTTGTTGTATGGATAGATGGCATTATGGAGATTATGCACGTCTTTTTCTTTTCTTCCTATGTTGAATATTCTGGTTGCTATGGCAACAAATAGACTGAAAATATGGCAAATTTTACACATAACCTGGATCCAGTGATAACACAAAAAGTACTGAAAATATGTTTATGAAACTTGACATATGGGTAGATGGCAGTATGGAAATTATGCACATCCTTTTCTTATCTTCCTATGTTGAAAATTCTGGTTGCTATGGCAACAAATAGACTGAATTTCAAGATTTCTGATTCTAGTTTTTAAGTTTTTTCACTATAAGTTCTTTATTTCTTAAGGTATTTTCTTCAAACTTTAAATATAAGTTGCTTGTCATCAACCACATCATATGTGACAAGGTTTACAACTCTAGCACAAAGTTTATCAGAATTACCTCCCTTGAACTTAAAATTTTCATGAAAAAAACTCTTTTTTTTTTTAATAACTTCTTTTTCTGAATGTATCTACTTCAAACTTCATATAAATGTTTCATATTATCACTCAACATTAAATTTTGTGAGTGTTCAATACTCTAGCAAGACTATTTCTAGAATTATGCCCCTTTTGAACTTAGACTTTTTTTTGAGAAATTGGTAATTTTTACTCCAACTTCTTCAATCATGATAGGATTTTAAAAATGTTATATTTTGATAACAGGGATGTTTAAAAAATAACTTTAGAGTGTCTTTCAGTCCGTCTGTCTGTACATAAAAACTGTTTCCTGTGATCACTTTTAAAGAACTTTTTCAACAAATTTACTTAAAATAGGAACCTAAGTGAATGGCCCTTCAAAATGTTGCTTGGGCTCTTACCGGTAGGGGACTTATGGATTGCTTGCAATACTATGATAATTGCTTGTTTATACAGTAGAATAAATAGAGCTGCTGCCCACGAACTGGGACATAAACTACCACGGTTCATTTTAAGTTCCACCATCGAATGATAAAGAACATGGTATTTCATAAAGCAAAGTGTGATTTTTTTAAGTATCAGAAATTATAACATATCAGAGAAATATAAAAGTATTTTTGCGGTAATAAAAAATATTAATCAATATATTATTTAAATATATCAATCATTTTAAATACTCATTAACATATGTGCTATGTCCCTTTACGACATTATCTGGGATACTCAGGTATATTACATAATGAATTTATAACTACTAGCTTGATCTATGATAGCATTTTAGTTCAAGAAAATTAAATGATAAGTTAAGAAAATTAAGTGATGAACATTGGCTCATTTTTATTTCTATATTGTGAACAGGCTTTCATTACATCATGCATCGTTTTTAACCATTTGAATAATACTCAAAACATTTTTATACTGATAATAAAGGGCTTTCAGTTAGTTTAATTTCACTGTTTCATTGTTGTTGTTTCTATTTATTTATCTATAAGAATGTAAATTCTTACAAAAAAAAGTTTTGTCAGACAAAACCATGAAAATTCATGCCAACGAAGTTAAGTGAATTCACAGAACACTTTCAGTCTGCTTTTTTCAGTTTGAAATTTATTGTGCTTGTGTAAATAACAACTTATACCATCCATTCAATCGCTCAGAATAATATATTTTAAGTGGGAGAAAGAAATGGATATCAAATAGTATTCCAAGCCTGTAGCTATTGGGGAACTCTACAAGACTAAAATTTATTCTTCTACGACATCTGTGTGTATAAAAGTAAACTTTATAACATAACATAACACTATGATATATCACAAACAAGCAAATATTTAGATGCAACTAACAAAACTCTATAAATAGTAAATGAAAGGAAGACGTAATGTTCAGCGTTCGACGGACATGTACAATTTAATAAACAAAACAATAACCCGTTATTTGCTAATGTCTAATTTGCATTACATATTTCTGTAGCTGTTTGATTTGTGTCCATTAATATATAAAGTCTATCCAATAATATCAAAAATGCTCAGCTCCGACGGGATACAATATATTACACTTCTAATTTTGGCGCAATGCTTGGGCAATTATAACTTTTCGTGACAAAGAAAACTACAAAAAAAACTGATGTTAGTAATCGCGCGCAAATACTATAATAATTATAATAAGTTTAATCATGCAAATATGGCAAAAAAGGTGAAAGTGGTGAACTGCTTCGGTAGGCATGCCTCTTTAATAAGACCTAACCACCTACAAAGTTTTTAATTGTTCTGCCAGGAACCGATTTATAAGCAATTAAGTTTTTTACGTCACAGACGAAATCTGCGGTGTATAAAATAGTTTGTAATAAGGTAAATTTTACTGAAAGTTTAGTGGCATGCGCCATTTTTTATGGCTAGTAGCATATCAACGAGCAAAGTATTTAAATAACAGGAAATGGTAACATTCATGTTAAACAGATTTTGCAGTTAAAATGCAAATTTGTGTATGAAAAGGTTAATTCTGTTCTAACTTTACAGCATAAAATATAGCACCTTCAGGTCGCAGTTAAATTACTTTACTGCATTGATGTACAAGACACTAATCAAATATGACGCAATGACGTGTTACATTCTTTTATTTGTGTTATAATAGCCTAGTCGCTTCCAGTGCTTTCAGCGCTTTGATCTATATTGCAGTGTAAACGATTACCGTATATCAACGATTACCGTATATCATTTTCTTTTATCACGAGACAAGTTTCTCATGGAATCTCAAACGTTTCATTATACAAAATAGCCCGTTTATTTGTTTTAAATGTCTGAAATCGGGAGATTGGTTCATGCACTTGCTATAGCAGCTCTTGAAAATTTCGGAATTCAGTCTGGTCTAAGGAAAATTCTTCAAGACTATCACACCATCTGATTTACCTTAGAAAATGTATCTTAAAGTAACAGCAAAGTTATACTGAAATCGAGTAATATTCTCTTTGACGTATAAAGTCACGTGGGTTGGCTACCTAAGTAGAGGTGTTAAAATTTAATTGCAATACATGTTTTTTTGTTAGCCATTGAAGTAATTATGTATAAAGGACTTTCAAAAACAGTTATTATTCAGAGCGGGCGCTATGGTGCAGTGGTAACACTGTCTGCCTACCAATCATGGGGTCGTGAGCTCGATCCCCCGCTACTCCACTAAAAGAATGACATGACTATGAGACTGACAAAGCCAGAACATAGAACACAGAGACAAACAGTGATAAACATACAGACTAAATCGATCAGAGTTCAAAAGGCCTAAAGGAAAAGAGAAAAAGTAATATATAGCATGACAGTCAGCAAAAGACGGCAGATAAAAACAGCGGTGAAATCTACAAGAAACTGAATGAAACAGACGTCAAGGCACGGAACAGAACAGAAGTGACTTAAAGGAACAAGTAATATCACGGATACAGACAAGAGAAGATTTAACAGTACAGCCAATAAAAACCTGACGATAACAAGACAAAGGCACAGAAAACGGGAACTACTTACACAAAAACGCACTCTGTGACCGATTACGGAATACGCAACACCATCTACGGATAACATGTACCGCAAAAGAACAATAAAAACACATCAGATCACAGAATCAGTAAACAGAAACCAATACATTACAAGACACTTTACCGAAGCAGACAGAACAGAAAATAAAGCTAAACAGACAATAAAAACACCAATGAATGACTAACACGGATAAAAGAGATATAACGGTCAGCAACGTTAACGGAACTTACACAGTGAAATGTGTTACAATATGTTAACAAGATCAACAAGGAAAGGCGGCGTTCAATGAAAGCAAAAAATACGACCCAGCAACAAAAATCAGAAATAAAACTAGAGGCAAAAGGGGAGATACTTAACAAGCGACACAAACAAAGGTGTGTATCATTATCGCAGACCACTTTCATGCAAACTTGTACGTATGGTTTATGTTGACACACAATACCCCTGAAGCATTTTGAATGTCAGAACAAAGTTGGGTTGCAGTTGCAAAACGGATTGCCTGGATGACAAGAAAACGATACTAGGCCTCAAGAGTCATCATTGTTCTGCCACAACCATGTCGTCTAACAGGTGTACCATGCTGTTGGAACCTCGCCCAGACTCGGTAGATAACTGTATGGTCCACACCAAACCAACCTCACGATGTCGAGCCCCCTGCTCCACCGCCACAACTCTGCTTCTGATAAATGCCTTCTAATATTTGCATTCGCCATTATTCAAACTTTAATGTTCAATATTTCAATAGAAAATGAAGGATGTACACCCTACACGTCTCGGTAAGTGTATGCTGTGTCTAATGAAGACTATCGAACTTGTTTGCTGTACTTGCACGTGAAAATGGCCTGTCATTCAAAGGTTATGTGTACACAGGGTATATTCTTGATACATTACTACACGATTTACAATGTAAATATCACATAACATGTGATGTAGAATGCACGATGCTATGTGGAAAACTTGGTGCTTAGCAAAGTTTGAGTAGTATATATACATAATCATAATCAGTGACCCCAGGGGCTGGACAAATTTTGACCCAGGGACTGTGATTTGGACAATCTTGGTATAAGTCCACTACACAATGTTTCTTGCAAAATATCTTACCTAATCTTTGTTAATTCAGAGAGAAAGATTTTCTTAACTTTTTACTTTATAAGGAAAACCTATGACCCCCATGGCAGGGCCAATTTTGACACCAAGGACAATATTTGAATAACTTTGGTAGAGGACCTTTACATGATAATTATTATTATATACCAAATATCAAATCTCCAAACCATGTACCTTGACTCAGACAAGAAGTTTTTTTTTATTATAAATAAATGACTCCCGGGGCGCGTCCAATTTTGATCCCAGGACTATAATTTGAATAATGTTGGTAGAGGTCTACTACACAATGTTTTCTGCCAAATATCTAACCTCTACCCTCTGTCAATTCTGAGAAGAATTTTTTTACAATACACATATAAGGAAAGCCAACGACCCAAAGGTAATTTTGAGGTAGGTGTATTTTCTTCTTCCTTACCTATTGTGTATATGTACATTTTATTTAACATGTGAAGATATGTTTTGTATCTTTTTCAAACAGGCTCAGAAAAGATTCCATTGATTTCATGGCTGGTTCCCAAAGTCTTATAAACAATTTTCTATCAGGTGTCTTCATTATTTCAACAAAAAGAAAAAAATCAACACTTTCTTACATCTTGCAAATTGTTTGTATTTCATTAATAAAAACAAAAAAATATACAACAATGTTACTTTGCACATGTATACATGAAATTCCAAGAATTTGTTCCCATGTCTCAAACTTCAACATTTAAACAAAATGTTAAATGAAAGAGGAAAATTCATAAGTTTATTACTCTTTGATTCTAATGTTGCTGTACTAGCTATATAAACCATATTTTCCGGGATTTTTTTTTTTAACAAAAACTTGTCAAAAAGAAGTTTATTTTTTTCAAACTTCAACAGAAATTGTCACCAAGTTTTATATTTTCATAGGTGACAAAGTGAATTGTTGTTCTAAAAGAAACACAAATATACTGCAACATTAAATCTAACATAAAAGTAGATGCATAGAGTAAACGCTATGTTATCCATAATACTTGTTAAACATTTCAAATTGTTTTACTTTACTGATGCTCCATTTTAAGTCTGCACATTTTTTACTCTTTTAGTCTTTATCTTCATGCATGTAAAATCATACGTGCCAGATATTTTCTACCATTTGTTACACATTTCACAAACAGCAAATGTACACATTTCAAAGATGTATGTACAAATAAAAGAGATCTATGTACACATCTGTGAATGTTCTGTACACTTCAATTTATTCTGTACACTAGACATTGTTCATGTCGCTTCCCAGCACTATGTCAATATTCACATATTACCTACAACTTAGACAGTTTGCTGCCTCCAGTTTTTATATGTAAGTCCTACATTTTACACACATGTTCACTTCCTAATTACACATTCCCATGTATGTTTAATGTTTAATTACACAATGTATGTTTCTTTTAGTCAATCTGAGTTTAATGTTCCATATCTGCATCTTCAAACTGGCCTGCATTTTCATTCTCCATATCTGAATAGGAAATAAAAGCGTTGATTCAAGAACAATGCTAGACAGTTGGGGTTTTTAAACACGTTTCAAATCATTATCTTGGTGGTAGATCCATAACTAACCAGTAATTACCCAGGCTTTAAGTTAATTAAATCATGGCACTTTAAATAAAGGTCATGTAATAATTTGTCAAGTTACTGCTAGAAGAAGAAGACAAAGTGGATTTTTTTCAAGCAGTTTCTACATTAAGTTTCATAGTCATACGGACAGGTGAAATAAAATACTCAAATAAAACTGACAAGTACTAGTAAGTCAAATTAAGATTTTGCCAGCCCTGAGCTGGATAGCTTCTGAACATTATCAAATACGAAGTCCCTAGCAGGTTTTAGACCACAGTGGTATGGTGCAAGTGAAGTCAGCAACCATAACCATTCAACCAAAGAGACCCCTTAACATGTAAGATATGAATAAAAACATTTACTAATACTGCATTACCTTCTTCATCTTGGTGACCATTTGTATGCTCCGCAGGAGGCCCATCTCCTTGCCCTCCTCGTAACATATTTTCTAATCTTTGTAGAGTTGCCTGCCCTTGTTCTGTGAGCTCCTCAACACCTTCTTCACCTTCATAATAACCTTCTGAAAAATACAATAATCATTCTAACATTTCCTTAACACATTACAACTGATTTTACTACTGATCACACTGTGTTTCCTAAAATAGCATTTCTATTCAGATTGCTTTTTCTTAAATCATAACAGAACCAAAGATATATGCTTTAGAAAATCTTTCAATCAAATGAGGTACCTGTTTTCAATGAAATAGATGACCATTGTGTATTTCTTAACATCATAACCTTCATGATTTATTTACTTTATAGCCTTAAGTTATGTGACATTAGAGGGTAACAATCTGTAAGGTCACATGGTAGCATCATATACGGTCGCTGTCATTATCAAACAGCCCTCAATCGACAGGTTGCTTTAACACTTAAGAGCTGTTCAGTATAATGAAATAAATATCACATGCAATTGAAATGTTCACCCTCAACAAAGGTTCAGGTGAACATTTTCTTTATCACCTCAGAGGGATTTTTAAATGTATAAAAATGCAAGTTTTAACCCAACCCCAATAAAAAATTAGGTAAAAATAGCTTTAAAAAAAGTGATTATTTGATTTTAAATTTTTTGGAAAAATTTTCTACAAAAATAAAAAAATTTTTACCCATTTAAATTTCCACAGGAAATTTTATTTCCCAAAACTTTTTTAAATTTACTACATGAAAAGGCAAAAATTTAAATAAAATGTATAAACATAAATTTTTAAACAAAAAAGATCAACAGAAACATAAAACCTTTTCCACATATTGTTATCTGAGTCAGGGAAAACTTTTGGATCCCGGGGGTAATGTTGGACTGTTTAAAGGCTGTTACATTGCTCTTCTGAAAAAATAAAAATTAAAAAAACATTAATCCCATGTTTACAAAACTTTTTTTTGAGTTTAAAAATTTTAATAATAAATTTTAGATATTAAAGTTAGGGCTCAATATGGTAAAGTTTAGGACAATCTGAGACATTCTCAGTGTAACTTGTAAGCATGGCAAAAAATACCTATACATGTGCCTTTGACATGTATTAAACTTTTTCCAAAATAACTTATTATCAGCTATAATCCCCATTCAATACAGAAAGTAATTCTAAGAACATGGGTGTTTCTACACTTAGACATTATTGTTATAGCAACATGACATCATATAAATGTTGAGTTAACATTAAGTATGTTCCTATGTGTTAATTAAGATAAGTATATATTTTAAAATGTTAAAAATGTGGTTACTTTTGTAACAATCTACATGTATATATAGAGAGTAATAATTAACACCAAAATAAACATTAAACTGTTTATTTTGTATTTTCCAGGCATTAAAATAGCATTTTAAATATAGTTTCCATTGCACTGTAGAACATTATTGGACGAAAACATAACAAATACTTGTACACTAATCTAACAAATTATACTGTTAAATTAAAAACACTTGCTTCCTTAAGAACAGCAGACTCACCAACTTCAGATTTGGTTTGTGGTTGTACCAATATGATTACTTGAGCTTAAAATAATGTACCAACATGGCCATGCACCATAAAATATTACTACAACAGTGATGGCTTGCCTTAAAACAAAATAATAAATGTTAAATGAATGAACACTTACGTGCCCTTTTGTCATCAGGTACAAATCTGACTTCTGTAGTTGGCATGTCATCATCATCACCTTCTGATGATGAGTTACTCCCCCTGTCATCTTCTGTAATAAAAAATGCAGTCAATTAATAAGAGTTATTTCATGTATGATCACAAAAATAATAATTCTATTTTGATTAATTCATTAACAAGGCAGTCAATCCTAAGTTGTTCCTTGAACAAATAATATTCATAAAATATTACAAATAACAATGCCAGATTTTAAAAGGTAGTTTTGATTAAACAAACAGCTTAACGTATTAAGCATGATGTACAGGTATATTGTAAAAGCAGTGACAGCTTTGAAGCTGGCCCATTTTACTAAGTATACTAGTAATCTTACCAATTAACTTTCCTTCAACTTGTAGGTAGAGACATTCATGTGGAAATGAAGTCAGATCTCTAGATGTGGCATGTAGACAGATCTTTGGGTATTCTAGACAGAATCCTGAACCAGCTGGGCTTAACCATGTCACCTGACTGACATAAAAGAAACATATATCACTTAAAAACCATATCATTTACAAATTTATGTCATAATAACCTGGGGCATAATATAACAGGACAAGCAACTACACACTAGATAAGCAGTCTTATGATGGTCTCCAGTTGACTGCTGATTAACAAACAGTTTTCAATTCATTTATTTTCCCAATTGTTATGTAAATGAGAACAATAAATTTTCACAAAATCATGTAAAGACCAATTTAATATTTAAGGTCCATTACAAACCACAGGTAAACGTTGCGTGGCCATGACTTACACTATACCTCTGTTCCCCCTCTACAACCCAAAACCCTAAAAAAAATTATGAAAAAAAAAATTTTTTTTTATGACTAAAATATTATAAAGGTATTTTACTCTACTTTCATTTTGCATAGAAATATCACTAGCATCTCAATTATCAGCGCATATATTCATCAATTTTTCACCAATCTTAACAATCTTGGTCTCAAATCTTAGATAAATAAATACTCTTTAAGAAAACAACACTGGCACCTTCGCTGATTATACGTAGCAAGAAATATCCAAGCCCAAACTATCAACAAATGAAACTCGGAAGAGATCTGATTGCACCGTTTCGGTAAAACTCTCACGAGTAAAACACACTAAATTCACCGTGAAAGAATATTTCTTTGTATTGCGTATTTAAATATGATAAAATTAAGTTATTATTTTATAATAATTGTTCAATCAAAGCATCTTATGAAACTATAACGCACCTTTTTTTTCCTATATGTCAAATTCTCATTCCAAAATGAAAGTAAAATGGGCCTGCAGATTGTTTTCAAATGGAGTATTTTCATTGGTCACAGGAAAACCTCGGACCAATGAAAATACTTAAAGGGAAACAACTCTGCTGTGCCAATTTACTTTCATTTTGGATTGAGAATTTGAAATATAGGAAAAAAGGTGCGTTATAGTTTCATATGATGCTTTGATTGAACAATTATTACAAATAATAACTTAATTTTATCATATTTAAATACGCAATACAAAGAAATATTCTTTCACGGTGAATTTAGTGTGTTTTACTCGTGAGAGTTTTACCGAAACGGTGCAATCAGATCTCTTCCGAGTTTCATTTGTTGACAGTTTGGGCTTGGATATTTCTTGCTACGTATAATCAGCGAAGGTGCCAGTGTTGTTTTCTTAAAGAGTATTTATTTATCTAAGATTTGAGACCAAGATTGTTAAGATTGGTGAAAAATTGATGAATATATGCGCTGATAATTGAGATGCTAGTGATATTTCTATGCAAAATGAAAGTAGAGTACAATACCTTTATAATATTTTAGTCATAAAATTTTTTTTTTCATAATTTTTTTTAGGGTTTTGGGTTGTAGAGGGGGGACGGGGGTATAGTGTAAGTCATGGCCACGCAACGTTTACCTGTGTTACAAACCTAACGCAATTAAGTTGGTATATATTTCTCCAATTTACACTTGAACTTACAAATTATTAAAATCACAAGGATCAGGAAAATAAATGGCAGCAGGTGCATCTACATGTATTTCAGATTCTGAAAGGACGCAAAGATATAATCTATTTCAGATTTTGAATTGATGCAAAGATAAGGCGGCACTTATCTGTATTTGCTTGTTCTGTCATGTCATGTCCCAGTAATAATTAACAGAAAGGTTTTAAAAACAAGAGGGCCATGATGGCCCTAGATCGCTCACCTGATTTATCAAACTCATCCAAACAATTACCTAGACAAGCATTCTGACCAAGTCTCATGACAGGTGAGTCAAAAATGTGACCACTACAGTGTTAACAAGGATTATCCATATTTGAGCAGTGCGACCTAGTTTTTTACCCAGGTGACACATATTCAAACTTGACCTAGAAATCATCAAAACAAACTTTTAGACCAATTTCAAGGATACTTGGATCAAAACAGTAGCAACTAGAGTGTTAACAAGATTTTTCTATTTTTAGCTCCGGTGACCTAGTTCCACATGCGATTTTGAACTCATCCAAGCAATTACCTATACAAGCATCCTGACCAAGTTTGATGATAATTGAGTTGAAAATGTGACCACTAGAATGTTAACAAGGTTTTTCCATATTTGGGCGGTGTGACCTAGTTTTTTTCATCCAAGATGACCAATGTTCGAACTTGACTTAGAAATCATCAAAACAAACTTTCAGACCAATTAACAGAATATTTGGATCACAACAGTAGCCACTAGAGTGTTAACAAGGTTTTTCTATTTTTAGCTCCTGTGACCTAGTTTTTCATCCGAGATGACCCATGTTCGAACTCATCCGAGCTATCACCTAGACAAGCATCTTGATCAAGTTTGATGATGATTGATGCAAAAATGTGACCACTAGAGTGTTAACAACGTTTTTCTATTTTTAGCTCCGGTGACCTACTTTTTCATCCGAGATGACCCATGTTCACACTCATCCGAGCTATCAACTAGATAAGCATCCTGACCAAGTTTGATGATGATTGATGCAAAAATGTGACCGCTAGAGTGTTAACAAGGTTTTTCTATTTTTAGCTCCGGTGACCTACTTTTTCATCCGAGATGACCCATGTTCGAACTCATCCAAGCTATCAACTGGAAAAGCATCCTGACCAAGTTTGATGATGATTGATGCAAAAATGTGACCGCTAGAGTGTTAACAAGGTTTTTCTATTTTTAGCTTCGGTGACCTACTTTTTCATCCGAGATGACCCAAGTTCGAACTCATCCGAGCTATCAACTAGATAAGCATCCTGACCAAGTTTGATGATGATTGATGCAAAAAATGTGACCGCTAGAGTGTTAACAAGGTTTTTCTATTTTTAGCTCCGGTGACCTACTTTTTCATCCGAGATGACCCAAGTTCGAACTCATCCGAGCTATCAACTAGATAAGCATCCTGACCAAGTTTGATGATGATTGATGCAAAAAATGTGACCGCTAGAGTGTTAACAAGGTTTTTCTATTTTTAGCTCCGGTGACCTACTTTTTCATCCGAGATGACCCATGTTCGAACTCATCCGAGCTATCACCTAGACAAACATCCTGACCAAGTTTGATGATGATTGAGGCAAAAATGTGACCTCTAGAGTGTTAACAAGGTTTTTCTATTTTTAGCTCTTGTGACCTAGTTTCTCATCCGAGATGACCCATGTTCGAACTCATCCGAGCTATCAACTAGATAAGCATCCTGACCAAGTTTGATGATGATTGAGGCAAAAATGTGACCGCTAGAGTGTTAACAACTAAATGTGAACGGACGACGGACGGACGGACGACGGACGACGGACAATCATCGATCCTAAAAGCTCACCCTGAGCATGCTCAGGTGAGCTAAAAAGGCAAGACAGATAATCTGCTGGAAAAAGTGCCAAAGTTGACTTTAAATAAATTTTATTCCAAATGATAATTAAATAAACAGATATGAATCGCTGACAATAGTTATACATAATATATGTCCAGTAATCACATAAAGCATAAATGAGTAAAAACCTCCATTCGATTCATTGTTAGCACCCCACCCACCATTTTACCAATACACAATCACACCTTTCAGCTATGTACAGGGCTCCTTTGCCTTTGTCAGCTCCATCTATGAATACAGTAGTATTGTCTTCTTTGTGCTTAATCCCAACATTGGGTACGGGAAAATCTGTAAGTAACATAATGCACAAAAATATAGATAATGTTTATAGCACGTTTTATTCTTTCGTTTTATTTACGATTTGTGATCGACCAATCAAAATGGAGAGAAAGTATTCGTGACTGCGACTCTAAAGTCCGTGCCGATTCCGTACGATTTGAGCATTTTATTATATTTTTTTAATTATATCCCCCCCCCCCCCAACATTTGGAATAATAAAAAAGCTGTCGATATGTGAATGTTCGAGAATTTTTCTTTATTGATATTAATTTTATTCTTTTTTCAAAATGTTGATAATTTAATAATTTTTCCAACTTCTAATATATATAATTCCAACAGGTATGTAGCCTGTGCATTTTATCATATAAAATCAAATCATTGGACGGTTCTTACAAATCATTGAACTCAATCATGGGGATTTTTCTTACTGCTGCACATGTTCATATAGTTTATGCGGTTTGTTAAGTTTCATCAGCTATTGTTACCATATTTGGATTTATTCCATGTTAATGCATTCAGCTTAATTTTTCCTATAATCTTAAGTTTAGGCATCCTTCAGAATTGCAAATGACGCATAGCAAAAACATTTCTTAAAAGAAAGAAAAATCTAATTTCTTTTATATCTCTTCAGATTTTTTTTCTGAAATTGAAGAAATAGCTATCATCAAATGCTAAGCATCTAAAGTGTAAGCTTGGAAATGAAACGTCAAAAAATCTATGACAAAAATGTATCACTATTTCATCTAAAGTAAGGAAACTAAACCTGTAACATTACATCAAAAGAAGCACGGCACAGGAGGTAATTCGTCCTTTAGTCATCATAAACTTGTGCAGGAAGAAGACTTATTAAGGTATATAAACGATCAAGCTCTGTTTTATGCTTATATCTAAATTACTGTTCAGGGAAGAAATGCAAAGCTTTACCTATAACAGCAGTATCCTATCTAGTCATGTTACATCACAGTTCTATAGTATTTGAATGTCAACTCCTCTGCATGCATACACACAAACTATAAGACTATGATATTTCAGTTTAACCATTTCACGGACCAAGTTTGGAACATTATGATGTCTTGTCCTGAAATCAAAGTCTATATAGGTAATTATTGCATATATATGGGATAGGATGCAGCATCATACTGGTATAAATTCATCAAGTGACCAATGCAAAGGAATTAACAGTACCTAACACAGTTCTGTGTTCTTAAGATCTCTTAATATTAAATATGAAGTGTAATTTAAAGCATTCATAGTAAAATTCGCTACAATTTACCATACTGCATGTCTATATTTTGTCTTTGAGACACTCTTCCGTGCCTATCCTTTTCAAAAAGTAAAGAAACTCCGGAGCTCTAATCATATCATTTCTCTATCGAAATTTTTCATTTAACCAACGCGAATACTGTTTAAGACAACTACATTTAAAATATGGTCAAACTTAAAGATTCTTGGATGAAACGTTACTTGGAATGTCGAAAGTTTCAAGATGCATTGCAGGCCGTCCAATCATAATTTGTCATTTCCAAAATACCGATTTAATCCTGATACAGAACAGAACAGAAGTTTTATTATTTGGTTTAAGTATAACAAGCGCATCACCATATTATATAAATTTACAAATACAACATATAATACAGAGATCAAAATGTCGCCAACATCTTCTCAACATGGTAGAACCATTGCAGGATACTATAAACACACAATAAACTCTTGCAGTGCTTTTATTGTCATTGAACTCCAAACTCAACTCGTATTGGACAACTTGGCAATAAAACCCATAGACCCAGTAAGCACTGTATAGGCTAAACATGCCAAACACATTTTCAATAGCAATGAAACAATAGATTAAGCTGGTAAAACTCTGATCATCCGAAACATACAAAATATGTTACACAAGTAATAGTTTGAAATGTATATAACGCAAAAAATGAGTACTTACACAGCCTCAGGAAGTATCATAGATACATTTGACATCGAAGTTCTGTATCCATTATGCTAATAAATAAGTAAGGAAAGTTGAGAATTAGGAAAAAACATTATACATAGCCATGGTTAAAATGTTGATATCTAGACTAAAAAGATAGAATAATAAAATAAAACATCATGTAGTTCTAAGGCAATGTGCAATCCTATCACACTGACCTAGGTCGTCAGAGGTTCTATCCAAGTACAATGCTGTGAGAAAGAATGAGCACTTATGGCAGCAAGAGGAAACCTGTGGAAGAGAAAAGGTGTGCATACGTCAGATTTTCCTATTCATGTGGGTCTTGGACATATGGCCGGACATTAACTGCCATTAGGTTATGATATATCTTATAAATTGTGATAACCCTACAGTCTGGTCTGCGATGTTCAAGGGAACGCCAACCTAGGAGGTCTTCTAAGTATCTTCCCCTTTGCCCCTGTTCTTATTTCTTTAATTTAGCCCCCCCCCCCTTTCCCCGGGTCTCCTGTCCCCTTCCCCTATGCCCTTTGACTTTTTGGGCCTATTATTCAGTCATTTATTTGTTTTCTTTGAATTCCTTGTCAGTTACCAATTATTTCCTATTATTCAATCATTTATTTGTTTTCTTTGAATTTCAGTTACAAATCATTTATCATTTTAATGAATAGCCTGTCCGTGCTCTGCCTTGTGCCCTGTCCTGTTTTTTGTTTGGTGTACGTCTGGGCTCCTTACCGCTGGGTCATGTGGGGGTTGTGTTCATTGAACGCCGCCTTTCCTTGTTGATCTTGTTTATCATATTTCCTGTGTGGCTGTACAACTCTCTAGAGAAAATAGTTATCTTTTTCTCCCATCGTCCATATAGTAAGCCTCTCGACCATCTTTGACATTATGAAACTTGGTACACAAAAAATCGTTTTTATATCAAGAGAGTTTTTTATGATAGTAACATTTACAAAAGCGTGATATTTTTGTTGATGTAATACAATTATAAAAATATCACGCTTTAAAAAAAACATATAATAACGTGAATAAATATTATTACATATAGATTTCAGAAAATACGACCTGTTTTTGATAGTTTCTCTAAGAATAGAATAGAACAGAATAGAATAGAATGGAATGGAATAGAATTTCCAATCACGGGCTTTTAAGGTATTATAATCAATTTTTTCTCATATGGTGGAACAATAACACCAGCTACACGAATAAGGAGATATTATAATGGGTTTCATTTGAAAACAATGTTCTTGGAACCAGAGAGCTATATTTAATATAAGCCTCTGTTGAAACATTCTTGGGAGTCACTATTAGTCAAGACCTTTAATGGACCAAACATATACATAAACAATATTACATCTAAAGCAAATACTCCCTTAGATTCATTAGAAAAAATGTTAAAACCTCAAATAAAAAGATAAAGGAAACTGCATATAAGACCTATGTTTGACCTCAGGATTGCTCCATAGTTTGGCATCCTTGGCAGAAATAGGCCTACTTAATTTATAAGATACTGTAGAGCAAGTCCAAATATCAGCTGCTAGATATATTTTTAATGATTATGACTATACAAGTACTGAAGTAGTGTCTCAAAAATGATAAATGATCTTAATTGGCAAACCCTTGAACAGCGTCGAAACATCAGTGCTGTAACCTACTTGTATAAAATCCAATACAACATTGTTTTTGTTGACCACCAACACCTTACTCAAACAAGAAATCTGAACTACCTGATACCCTACTCGAGGACACAATACCATCAAAATTATTTCTTTCCTAGGAGCATACGTCTTTGGAATAGACTTCCTTTAACTGTTCAGTCTAGCCCCAGTTTAAACATCTTTACTGAGAGGCTAGACCCATTCTATAAACTCTAAATCGCATGCTATGTCTTTTAATTAATAGTCTTGTAGAACTTTTATTCTTTTAACTTTTTAAATTTGCATATAAATAATTTCTTTTATTAACAGCTCTCTGACAACGCGCCTGCAAGTCACTATCAATATTGATTGTTAAGCAGTATGATGTAGATTTAGGTATTTGATAGACAGAACGGTCCATGAGCAAGGTCGCGTGATCAAGTCAATTCCGTAACGTACGTCATGCCAGAATTTAGCACGCCTCTTTTTGTACGGTATGGTCCGATTGCGGTTCCGTTACGGGAAGTAAGGCTGGTCGCCAAAGAAAGAATTTTTGGATTAATAATTGACATATCGTATTAAAAAACACAGGAACTGCATCAGAAAAGTTTTATTGTCATTATTTAAATGCTAACTTTGAATTAATCTAAGAGTTGCATTTCATCTTACGTATTCCGAGAGGCATTTTTGTCGTGTCGTTATCGAATTTATTGATCCCGAAAAAGGGCCGAATCTGAAAAAAATATCATGATCATGTTAAACGCTTAACAGCATCAGCTTGATCTTTGTAAAAAATTACTATCAGAATTTTTTCAAGGTGAGTAACTTTTAATCTAGCACCAATAATTTGAGATTTTATTGTGCGCACATTTAACAGTACATAATTTGACCTTTAGCCTTAGGTTTTGGCATACAAATTTGTTCTAGATAATTTCAAGCGAATTATACAAGAATATTGTATCATAATTTTATTCTTTACAAGAACCTGACTTCTCAAAATCCTATTTAATAGCATAGGTATTTTGGTGGAATACAAAAATATTGTACTGAAATTACTCCACTTGACATACTGGCATGCGAACAGTTTCAGTACAGAATTAGTAGGCCCTACCCGTATTTACTCATTTAAAAGCTTGATTTTTACCTGCATTCTTCAAAAATTGATATCAAATCAAGCAGATGCATAAACGAGACAAAATCTTAAGTGTCAGTCCTCCAGTATGTATAAAAAGTTTTCATCTTGAATCATTTTCACCTGTGCGTTGTCAAAACATGACCTTGTTAACTGTAGGGGATTCTGGCCATGCATGCATGCTCAAAAATACTTACATGTGAGGCCTGTTAAACGGTTTTCAACTTGTGTAAATACACCTTTGTACAGATAAGAAGGGAATGTGATGAAAACCTGTTCAATTATCAGAATTTTTAAATTACTATATTTTTGGTGCCAGTACATAACTACTGCATGTACCTGGCAGATAGACAGGCATTAAAACTTTGCTACTTTCCTTTGCTTTC